TTGCTTACGATTCTCGGGCAAAATATACGATTGGATGCGGAGCATTGCAAGATGGCTCGCACAACGCTCCACACACGTACGGTGTTTCATTTTCTCCGCATCTTATATTTTCCTCGTTGTTTCGTGTATCCGCATCTGTTTACGAGAAGCGTGAACGTGAATAAAATCGCATAATATTTTTTCAAAGTTGAAATCGCGTCCGATTTACCGATATTTAATTTTTATTTCACTTTCGCGATTGTTAAGAAAGCCACAACGGTTGCGAATATTTGAATTATTTCGAATATCAAGCAATATATATATATATTTATTTTATCCAGCGAAATATTTTTCTTTCTTTCTTTTTTTTATAACGAATTATTATTTAACATTTAAATAACGTCGTATTTTATCGCGCAATTATAGGAATTGTGAAAAAAAAAAAAAACAGAAAAAATTATATAACACTTACAAACAGCGAGGAGTGTGGCAATAAATATACACGTAAAGATGTAGCGGGACATGGCGTGTATTATTCTTCTTTCAAAGTCGTTTTCGCTTCTACTGTCGGAAGCTATCGAAATTCCTGTTTTTTATACTTTTTTCTTCTTCTTCTTCTTCTACATCTTAAACACACACACACACGTTTGTCCGCGCGGGGGTATAAATTCTCGAAGATAACACGCGTGACAATAACGATCTATCCATCTTGTGTCATTACTCGTACGAGGTCAAATAACTAAACTAGCTAATAAATATATATTTTCATTAACTCGAAATTACCGGTACTTTGTGTTTATTACTTCGTTGCCAGTTGTGTCAATTTTTCAGATAACGACTTTTGCTTCGTGCGAGAAAGAACGTCGAGGCGTCGTGTTTTTCGTGGCAGGGAAGAAGAAGAAGAAGAACAAACATTCTCAAACGATAAATCATTGAACAAATATTCTTCAAATTGATAAACAAAGAAAACGGAATATTTCATTTATTTGCAAATGAGATTATTTCATACCAGTTACGCCTTTGCCAATGCTGGTTGACACGTGTATAAGCCAATCTCTCTTTCTCTCTCTCTCTCTCTCTCTTCCAAAGAACCTTTCTTCCAAATTTTCGACACGTATATGTCGCGTTGTATATACCCTTACACGTTAACCCTTTTGTTGTTCAGGTTCGGGATACCTCGAAAACCTTTTGAAAACGGGATTCGTTCTTCTCGCGCCGGAAGTATAATCGAGGGAAAGAAATTTTTAATTTGGGCCGATTCAAACTTGGCGCGGTCGCTGAAGATTGGAAGAAACGTCGGCCAATTTTCAACGATCAATTTCACTTTAACCCTCGTGAAAGTCTTTGGTCAAACAATTCATCCACGTGAAAGCTTGTCGCGTGTTGTAACTTTCACGGAAACCTATTGACTTTAAATTTACCTACAGATTTCACCATTTAACATCGTGTATTCCTCGTAGAAAGAAAGAAACATTCCTCCCGTCCACGATCGATCGATTATCGTCACCTCTTCCTCGATCGTCGCCGCGTCTCGTGGATACCACTGCTTCCAATTTATCCAAGATATTCTTTATTTACCCTAAAAAAAGGGGGAGAGGATCGAGGAGAGAAGGATTTTTCGAATCCAATTTATAGGAAAAACAAATTCCTTAAAATTAACTCGATTCCACTTATTACGCAATTCTTAAGGAGGAATATTATTTATTTCTTGCCAAATCGTCGCCGGACAATTTTACACCTGTTCAACGATTTATCGCCCTCTCGAAACGAAATCCTCCCGATCCACCCCCGTGAAATAATAATCGGCGGTCAGGTAACGTTCAGATCCCTCGAATCCGGTAATCTTCTTAACGAAGACCTCCGTCCCTTCTTGGACGGAGGCTGCTCTCGTCCACTGGCTGGATATCCAATAAGCGCACGGCCATCGTGTATATACGCTTGTCTATTCTCCCGAGAGATGAGACTCGTGACCAAAGCGCCTCGTGTCGTGAGATTGGCGCGACAAAGAGAAAGAGAGAGAGAGAATATAGAAATAAGAGAAGGAGGAGAAGGGGGATAGCGAAGAGAAACAATCCCATTCGAAGAGAGGTTGTGGCTCTCGCTCTCGAGGGTTCGAAAAAGGTCCCGGATTGAGGAGGAAAACGAGTGGCAGGTGCGTCTGTTTCTAGGATGAGAAGCCTGTTTTGGGGGGAGGACCCTTAATACGGTATTTCATCGGTCATAATGCGCCCCAGTATCTTCGAGGATAGATGTCTCTCTCTCTCGTTCTTCCGCAAAAGTCTTTTTTTGCAAACAACTTCTGTTCCTTGGAGGGGAGGAAAATCGGTCCTCTGTTTTCTCGCTTACTGCATCTTGAAAGTGAACGTTGCCTTAACCCGGCGGAGTGGAATTTTTTTCTTTTTTCTTTTCTTCATCCATAGCAGATGTACGGGTTATCGGAGAAAGTTTGTCAAAGTTGCACGAATCGATATACATGAGAAATCATATATCCTCGACGTAGATGAAACGAACGGTGGTGGCTCGTCGAAGGGTTGCGAATCGTTCGATTAACGGGAAAGTTTTCCAGAAAACTGGAATTCCTCTCGAAGCAATAGAAAGAGGAAGAAGAAGAAAAGGGTGGAGGACGATCGGGAAGGGATTCTTTCTGAAACTTTCTTTTTCTGGGACCTGTCTTATCATCCTGTCTCTCTCTCTCTCTCTCTTTGTCCCGCTCGTAGAGGAGGAAGGTTTGGTGGCAAACTTCTCTCCGACGACGATCGCCTCCTCCCCCTCCTCCCCGGCCTTTGTTCTCCACGTGATATTCCACGTCGTCGTCTAGACCCCGAGGGACAATGCGCGTTGCTATTTCGGTAAAACGCGACTGATTATTCGAGATACGCGAGAGCGGGCCGAATAATGCGCGAGAGCGAACAAAGCGACGTGACACCGATGCCGTAGGAATGGCTTGGGCTCATTATTAACGCCCGGTGCTATGCCCGGTGCGCTATTGTGTCTCTCTCTCTCTCTCTTTCTTTCTCGTTCGCCTCGATCTCCCGTTTTGTCACGTTCCGCGCAAACAACCTGGGGAAAATTGTCCACGTTCCTCAGACTCGTTGATAATTCGCCGCTGCGGTTACGTGGTGAGCGTGTTTCTCTCTTGGATGGGGGGGGGGGGGGAGGATTGATGCTGGAGGTTATTTTTTTTTTTTTTTGTTCGAAAGAAAAATTATATATGGAGAAAAGAGTTAAAATGTGAAGGGAGAGAGAGAGAGAGATAAATACACATTATCAGAGATTTCTTTGTTATCTACGAATGTTTACGTACTACTCGAAAGTTTAGTTGTTTAGGATTAATACATTTTTAAGACATTTTTAATCTTTTCCGAAGGAAAGCGTGCTTATCTCTGCTTGCCCCTAATAATTGCTTTACGACTTCGATACGAATCAGAATTTATAATAATTTTGTTTTGGAAGTAAGAGAGATAAAAGGCGAAGGCGTGTTAAGATTTTTTTTTTTTTCCCTCCTCGATGGAAGAGGGTTATAAGGTTCGAAGATATTTCGAGAAGAGAGTGTTCTTCGTTAGAAAATTACGTAACCACGGTTAACGGTGGCGTTGCTGTTTGGAGCAGATGCTTTGGAACGCGCAGGCCATTAGACTTGGTTGGTAGAAAGGACCCTTATCCTCGTTTCGCAGGGTCATTTCATCGGTTGGAAAGGTATGCAAATTGTAAGAGAGGAAAAAAGGCCAGGTTTCGATTCCGAACGTCTGTGTTGTCCGAGACCCTCGAGAGCCTTCCTTCCTTCCCCTCCCCCCCTCCCCCTTCCTTTCTTCCCTTGCTTAAAGGTAATTCCGCACGAGCTTCCTTTTTCATGGGCAACCGGCGGCCGCCTTCTCCTCTCCCCTCTTCAACTCCGCTTGCCAAGTTGAAAAAGCGCGACGAGGAACGATCGAACGTTGGCTAATGTGCTTTGTGTTACCGTGTGAAAGAAGGAAAAACTAGGAGAGGCAGGGCAGTTTTCAAAAACAAATTCGATGGAAATGTTTATCGATTATTTGTTGTTGTTTTTTTTTTTTTCGATATAAATTTTAGTCTCCCTCGAGTGTATAATCACGTTCGATTACGATATAATTTTTACGTGTTTTGAAAAAACTTCGATTAACACTGTGAAATGATTGATATATATCAATCCGGGAGTATGTTTATATCAAAATCACACGAAATCTTCTCTAATTGCATAAACTTTTATTATTCGAAATAATGAAGATTCGTAACCGTGAAATTATATAAACAAATTTATACGAAGTTTTCGCTCGTAATCATTAGTCATAATGAATCGTATTCATAGTCGATCATTATTCATCTATGTGTAGAACGTTGTTGCCACAAAGGATAAAAACAATTTTAATTAAATCAATTGATAAAAAAAAAAAACTAGGAAAAAAAAAGTTTTCCATTTGCAAAGTTACAAAGTCCATCAAGCGAATTCGCGTAAACACGAATTTCGATTAACCGAATGAAAAATGAGTTGAAAAATTGAACAAGAATAAATTCATAAGTTATACGAAACACTCGTCGTCAAGGATGAATAATTTTAGTCGAATCTTTTTCTAGAAAAATAATAACGGTATCGTTTCTTAAAATTTCATTATCGTTTATTTATTAAAAGAATTCATAGAATATATAAGCAGGAAAAACCAAAGGAAGCAATTTTCCTTGTTAAAACATCGACCAAAAATCACTGGCGAGCGATTTGATTTCCTTCTTCCTGCAGGAAAGTTTCCTCGCACGAGAGACGACAAAAATCGAACGATCGATCGATCGATCGGTTGCAGAAACCTCCCGAATTCCAGGGGATACGACGAAGAAAAATAACCGGGGCGAGGAAGAAATGTGTTTCACTCGCCCATCCCGCGTGTTCTCCCTCCGTTATTTCTCGCCGATTCCCCGTTATTGACGGCGGTGGTCGCGTTAGAAAACTCGTACGAATTTAATGTACCATAACAAAAATATTGCAACCCCATAGCCAACGACGATCTTTCGTGACGATCGTGTTGCCCATACTCCACGCTAAACCTCTCTCTCTCTC